GTTACGAGCCCTTTGTGATATATGACGCGTGTACCTTAATGTTGGCATATTGAGAAATGCCATTCCTGTCCTTTCATATTTTGATCAGCAGATGCATTTCGGTCACCGTCAAGGATTGCCAACTGACACGAATCAACTATAAAAAGTACATCCTGTAGCAAAACCAATTGTTTGTCTTGATGTTACTCATAGAATAGGGTTTCCTTCCCTTCCCATATGATATCCCCTGTTTTCTGCGTGTACCCCACGAGTGATTCACTTCTTTGTTTTCGGGTTCATCAAAACTGACAGTCGCATACCCGCTTAGAGCAAAGCAATATGTTATATGCTCATGCGTAACTGTCTAATTCAACTCACCTGCGCTTTCCACACAATTGACCCAAATTATCGTGGCAAACAAGTGGGTAGAACTTCTCGATGAAAAAGTGACCATTGTTTATCTCGATTTCTTCATAACTGAGCACTTGCGAGCCTCAGTATGGTTAGGGGTGGGTGCCGAGGGTTGCGACTGGTCACCCTTCCCTTGCACCTCGTGAAATGCTCCCATACGAACAACCGTCTCAAACAGCCTCCGCTGAGGAAGACCTACTCACTGCCTTCTTGTAGTGGAGGTGGTTTCTCACCAAAGTGAGAGAACGAAAAGCCGACATCCGGGACTATAGCCGGGTTGGTCGATCACTGGTATTCACCTAGGGGAGTTGGCCAGAAACCCTGATTCCAAACCAACCAAGAGGAGGCGTACGAACCACACCCACACCTTCCTGATTGTGGCAGTGGTCACTGGCTCGATTGGGCATGGAGACGTATTGGGCACCTTGGACATTTGACTCCGTCCGAAGGGCGAATGATCCGATGGACTGGACACCAGCTCCCAATGGACCCTGGTTTTCACACACCGCCCGGCTGCCTTGCGGGTCAGGCTTTGGTTAGCCGAGGGCTCCGGTTGTGAATTCCTCAAGAAAATTCACCTGTCTTGGCCTGGGCAACCTGGTGGTATTCAACCCAACAAGCCAATCATGGAACGTTTTTTCTTTTTTAAAAAGATTATTGTACCATGATTTGTTTGGCACACAGTCTATTCTCAAAAAAGTGTGAAATATAATGACAATAATAATAACTTATGAGTAAATCATGAGTACAGATTGACTCAAAGTTACACACACTGATGGGGTTACAGACATCTTGGGCATATTTCTCCACTACTGCATCCGCCATTCTCTCGTAGACAGTGTCAGATGGATTCCCCGCAAGTACGCTCCGCAGCCACGATTGACGCATTTCTTTCGTAAATGAGCCGTGCTTTGTCTAATAATTTACCAATCGTCATTTGGACAGAGCACTAATAATATGCAGATTTTAGCCTCTGCTGGCGACAAGCAAGCTTTCTCTACTTGTATGGCACATCCAGCACTCTGACAACAAAACAGGTTAAAATTCGCTGAAAGAGAATGTAATCACGGAGGACACAACCTTTCTCTCTCTCACCAACTCATCATAATGTATTGCAGTATGCTTTGAACGAGCAGCTCCCGTTTAGCTTTATTCCCCTCCGAATTCATTGTTTAACAAATGAGGTGTACTTTATTCACGGTAATGAGTTTGCCATCCATATAGTTGTCAGTTGTGATGCAACAAACCTTTTTGTCGTATTTGGCCTTCAACTTCAATCTCATCGTTTCTAAATATACCGTGCAACCTTCGTTGATCAACTCCACCAGTTGATCCAATTCAGCCTCACATACACTACTGCGTCGCTGAGTTCCTCCGTGAACTCCAGTTATATATATATATATATATATATATATATATATAACCTTTCTCCCTAGCAAATACCCCATGGTCAGTTTTACGCCGATGCGCGCCCAAAGCGGTCGCAACGGTCATCCTTGTCAAAAGCCGTCAAAACTCGTTTATGGATGTCCCTCACGTAGAATATTCCTGACGAATGGTTAGTCATTGCGAAAGTTACTTTGCGTTTCCCCCGGTGAAATGGCAAAAAGTGATGTAGTCTGAAAGCAGCGCCCTAAACGAATTCGAATTTGCTCAAAAATGACGCATATATTGGCCGTAAATTGTCCATTGGTACCAGAGGCTCATGCCATGACAAGATTGGTTGATGAGTTGGCGGAGTTGAAACATTATAGATGCCTAGGTCTACAAGCAAAAGGTCAAGATATCCCATGGGTAGCGGAGCGTGCGTGATCGAGGCACTTCTCACAACCGTATATCCCACGCTTCCACAAGAGGTCGAGAAATCTGTACCACACAGTGGTCATCCAGATATCTCCGGGAGGCTGGAACAGTAAATGGATCTGTGAACACCGACGAGGTCAACCATGCTGATGCCTATCACGTAGTTTTTCAGTAAGAATCACGAACTGCACCTTCTGGGACGCTGTTTGCAAACTGCAATAATGTCTATAACGATCGAGCATGATCGATTGGTGTCCCGCGGCCGCTTGAGGTGTAGCTTCATTCAAGCATCGTTCAATCGACGTAGGCAATGGCTCAAGCGTTGGTCGCACATGATCCACTGGTATCGGCGCACAATTGTCCAGTATGACTTATCAGGGGGAGGGGGACGAACACACACACAGGCGTGTGCGCGTACTGCCAAGTTAAGGGATCAAGATATGTCATGAGTATCCGGGTGTGAGTAAACAAGGCATATCTCATAATCTATACTCCTGCTCTTCAAACGAAGGTTGATAGGTCTATTTTGCATGGTGGTTTTGATATGTTAAATATTTTGATATATGTACGAAACCAGACTGTGTACTAAACCAATGATGGTACAACAACCTTTATTACAAAGAAAGAAATTGCGTGATTTGCATGCCAGGTTGCCCAGGCCAAGACAGGTGAATTTTCTTGAGGAATTCACAACCGGAGCCCTCGGCTAACCAAAGCCTGACCCGCAAGGCAGCCGGGCGGTGTGTGAAAACCAGGGTCCATTGGGAGCTGGTGTCCAGTCCATCGGATCATTCGCCCTTCGGACGGAGTCAAATGTCCAAGGTGCCCAATACGTCTCCTTTAATTAATCCCTGCTTTTGACTGTTCTGTACGCCGCTTACAAATACGCACGTACTAATAGTATGTTTGAACCCCTACTTTGTCCTCTATGTTGCTCTCAACTGTGTCATCGATCCTGGCCCATGATCGACTGACCCTGACACTTGTATATGCACACACACACACACACGTACCTACACAGGTTTACCGTAATCATGTCACGGCAGGCCAGTTATGCCATACGGCGCAGAGGCTTGGCCATTAAGGAAACAGGATTAAAATAGACTGTCGGTGTTTGAACACCACCGTCTACACAGCATTGTACGAATCTGGTGGGGCAGCCGGACGAGCCGAGGTTAGATGGAGAGATTCAGGTCGTCGTGGTCGTCCACTGGAGCAAGTGGTCGGCCTCCATACATTACGCTGGTTGGGGCATGGACTACGCATGTCACGAGATAGGTTGCCACGGCGAGCGATGTTCGCCGAGACAAGTTGTGGATGGGAAAAAAGCCAAGGGTGGGCACACGAAGACGTGGTACGAGGGCATGAAAACCCTAACGAGCAGTCTGGGTCACATAGGTCCCGTTAGGCTCCCCGGTATGGGGACCTCGGGATCATTGTAACCGATGGTTAGAGAGATTCAGTGATATGGCTGAGTGTCGTAAACAGTGGCGTTCGTGCATCTTCTCAATTTCTTTGCAACCTTAGACCACTGAACTTCTCCATTTTCAATTCGACTCTACTTTCAACTTTCTTGTCTTTCTCCTGCTGTTAACCCAATTGGGGGAACAAAAGACAGAAACCAAAACTGGTGCACAAAAGTGCATGGTTAATGGTTGTACAAACTGAACTGAACTGAACTGTTGTTTGTTAAACGGAATAGTGCCACAGTTTGAGGTTTGAATATTTTACACTATTGCAATCTGTATTTCAATACGTATTTGTAGAAGAAACCCATTTGTGGAAAGGCACCGTCCACCGGTGTTTTTGCGCGCGTCACTCTACGAGGATTGTTGTAGCCTGTGAAGTCAACATATGGCCTTCTTCGTGTTGCGGTAATCCGTGTGGACATTTTTTTCTGACAAAGTGAGTACAATGACCCCACTCAGGGCCTATTGGTCGTCACGCGCTAATAACTGTGGTAGTGCATCTATGTTTAACATTACAAGGTAGTATGCTATCGTGCTATTTTGAATCCAGATACAAGTTACCCAACGCTTTCCACCAATCCTTGCTACCGTAATTTATATTTGAGATCTTTGGAAAGATCGGCATATGAGCGTATCAAGGTTTATTGCTCGCTTGTGAAGAGATGGGCTTGAAATCGGGATTTAGTTGCCACAAAAAACTCACAACAAACGAATTATTCCGTTTGTCTGTGGAAAACGATAACTAGCCACCGAAATCTAATACAGCGATGATAGTTTGTTGTCGGAATCATAAGAGTATAAACACATGGTCAAGCGCATCACCTGAACAGTTTAATGTGATTAGAGCGGCCCAAATTTTGAGCACAAATCAGGACAGAAAAAGAACTTTTGGCCTCCAAACCGTTGTGTCGATTTCACGGCTCGGAACACGAAGTTCACGCACGTTTATAGAATTCTACTATGTGAAGTGGACGCTCAGAATCGATCTCTTCCGACGAACAATGCGATCCACTTGGTCCGTCCAAAATGAAAAAGAAAACAATTCTAGTGGTGGGAGTGGTGTCCGAGGGTAATCGTAACAGTAATATTCCGTCACTGAGGAAACAGGGACGAGTTCGTGATATACGCACTGTGCATTGCATTACACTTGCTAAAATATGCGTGACAATTAAGGTCAATCACAAACGGACTAGTGGGTCAAGCATTATTCGAGTCCGGTTTTTGAGACACAAATCGGCAATAGTTGTTTACCGGTTAAGTGGGGGCAAGGACACACGAATATAAATTCGATGAGTGACGAATACCGCTCGCCGAAATGGAAAACACAATTTGACTCACTTCTTCCCGGAACACGTAGCCCAAAGTGGCTCCGGTGACCTGGGCGGTAAATATCACGATCAGAATAGCAAAATAAGCTCCCAATAGGCATTGAGATTCATGATAGGCTCCGCAACAACCAAACAATGCGGTGATTAATGTGATTCCGCCGATACCCATCAGCACGTAAAGGATCACTTGTACGGCGTGGTAGTGTCCAGTGGCAATGATAATATCCTGAGCTTCCGGTTCTTGGGAAACATACACTGAGAATCCCAGAATAAACAGGCCCACCAACTGAAGACGGGGAAAAAGGAAGAGAAAAAGTGAATTCACCAAAACCGATTAGGCTAACTGAATGGACAACGTATCATTCATACCCTGAAAACAGTAGGTCATCAAAAATGAATCTTCGAGGCAATTATTAAATCGAATTCAGATTGTGAGAAGATGTTCAATCTATGGTGATGTCATCAGGGGTACCGAAAAAGAAATTGTAAACCACAAAAAGATCTTTAAAAACAACAACTCCATGAGACTCCATTTCAACAGGGGGCTACAGTGGTACAGATAGGTGCGTCCGAAAAGGTTATTCCAATAATACGATCGCTTTATACTAATAGCCGAAGTCGAGTCAGAGCTTACAGCACTTTTCACCCGATTTCACCACGGAAAGTGGTGTTCGACAGGGTTACCATCCCTCTCCTTTTCTATTTAACTTTGTCATAGATTTGATTCTGGAAACAGCCCTATCCTCGTGCGAGGATAGTGGCACCGATTTACTCCCAGGTGGCTGGCTGTATGATCTAGAGTATGCAGACGACATTATGCTTCTAATAGAAAGATCCAGGTAAGTTGCAAGCTTTTCTGGATAACTTGAATGCCAGTGTAGCCATATCCGGTATGCGTTTTGCACCTTCAAACTGTAAAATGTTACTACAAGACTGGGTTCGTCCAGCACCCAGCCTCACTTTAACTGGGGAAGTAATAGAGCAGGTGGATAGGCTTTATCATTTGGGCAGCTACATCTCACCCGGCTGATGCATCACGGATGAAGTGTGAGCTAGCATACAAAAGGCTGGGTTGGCATTTGCCAACTTGAGACATCTGTGGCACCGTCGCGACATCCGGCTGTCTGTGAAGGGTCGAGTATATGCTGCAGCAGTTTGACCGGGGCTGCTTTACGGTGTAGAGACTTGGCCATTACGGGAAGAGGATAAAAGTCGATTGTCGGAGTTCGAACACCACTGTCTACGCAGCATTGCACGAATCTGGTGGGGTAACCGGACAAACAATGCCGAGGTTAGGTGTAGAGCTTTGGGTAGTCGCGGTCGTCCATTGAAGCGAGTGGTCGACCTTCATAGAGTACGCTGTTTGGGGCATGTGTTGCGCATGTCACCAAATAGGTTGCCACGATGAGCGATGTTTGCCGAGGCAGATAGTGGTTGGAAAAGGATCAATTGCGGTCAAACGAGGACCTGGCATGAGGGAATCAAAACCCTAAACAGGAGACTTCACAAGCACCGATGATGTCACCTCGGTTGATGATGAAACGTTTGCAAACAAATTGCCAAGCTCGGCGAACAGGCGAAATGGAAAGACTAGGTTACATAGGCCCCGTTAGGCTCCTTGACTGGGTACCCCGAGATCCTGATCACCGATGGTTAGAGATACTGTGTGCTTTGGCTGGGCGACAATCTACTTTGTCCTCTTACCGTAGTGGCCAAGTCTCTGCACCGTAAAGCAGCCCCGGTCAAACTGCTGCAGCATATACTCGACCCTTCACAGACAGCCGGATGTCGCGAAGGCGCCACAGATGTCTCAAATTGGCAAATGATAATCGAGTTTTGTGTATGCGCATCGACACTTCATCTGTAATGCGTCCGCCAGATATAGCTGCCTAGGTAGCAAAACTTGTCCAAATTTCCTTGACATCAGCAAGAGGCGAAGAGAAGATGAAACGATCGCCCGAAAGGAGACCTGGATAGGTCAATATTTACCCTTCGAGAGCTTTGTGCCCCTGGAGTGTTCTTGTTCGCACGCAATTTGACAGATCGAGGCGAATCTGCACGGAAGACAAAAGTGAACAACTACAAAACCTTCGGGAGATTTTAGCAGAAAACGCTTACCCCCGGTAAAAGAACGTCTGCCTCTGTACACCAACTCTAATCTGATCTCCCAGTTCCAATTTGGATGCGGAGTGACCTGTGTGGGCAGAACAGAGCGACAATAATGAAACCGGGTGACTAAACATATTCCAAATTGGGTCCAAAACCAGATGACGCAATCGGGGTCAAGTCCGTGGCATAGAAACAACGGTCGAAACAACAAGACTCCGTCAGTGGCCATAGCTCGATATTTTCTGATGACGCAACACCAGATCGACCGAAGCACGGTGTTTCGGATTATCTACAAGTCACGCATCTCAAGATTGTTAAGATTTATGGGAGCGATTGCTATCATCTGATGGAAGCCTCCCTTGTGTTAACAAAAAGAACGTTGTTAGTTTATCCTTGCTCCAGTTACATAGTTCTTTTACATCCGTATATAAATATTGTGTTTTCTGCAGTATGCACCATGCTGAGCTGCAACGAAATCGTCCTGGACATAAATCATGCAGTACTGCAACATGGTCTTTTCCCTTGAAAACTTGTCTACTTCCTCTGCTACTTCGGACGCCGAATCGCCTAGCACACGGAGAGTGAAACGTGAAGATGAAGTTGGATCAGGAGAACGCAGGGAGATGATTGAAGTAGGGTATTGTATGCGAGTTTCGGAGACAGCATATACCTAAATGGAAGATTTCAATGGTTCTAGCTAAGGCAGTTTGTTGACCGATCTGTTAGAGTGTGCGGATAGTAAATGCGGCTAAGTGAAAAGGGGATTACGGTTCCAAAAACCTGATAGCCTCTGAGTGGTTGACCTCATTGGTTGAACGCTGAGTGATATCCCATGGGTGGTGCGAACTGGATGCATCTCTTAAGGTTTGGGAATGAGAAGAGGAAGTGGACAGTTGAGAAATAGGGCTTTCAACATGGGTACCTACCTGGACCCTGTCTTGATTAGCATATTTCATATGGTAATCGCGGTTTGAAATTATCTTCAATTGACCGCTGCTTTTTTTCAGCGATTAGACATTTGGTACCCTGGTGGTTAGGTTTTCTTTCAACTTGGAGAATTTCCCGCATCAAGTTAAACAAAACCTTGAATCAAATCGAAGCTGACAGGTCCGAGGTAGATAAAAATGCTAGTATATCCCCGCACAATCATTCTTCACTTCCTGAAGACGTTCTCAGAGTACAGGGATACTGATCAAATCACGCTTCTCAAAATCCCGATTCCATTTAGAGTCCATTTTTTTCTTCAAATTAAGGAAGAATGTCGATTCAACCAAGTTTCCTGATCGTACCTTCAGACTTCTGTACCCTTCTACTCCCGGGTGAAAATAAAACCACCAATCGAACTTTCCGAATTGCAATGGGTTTCACTCGAAAATACTATAAGGAACAAAATCCGATAGTCTGCATCCTGTCAATCAAATGCAAAGCATTGGAGATGGTTATCATTTGTGAACACAAGCACTTCCGAACGCATGGCTTAATAATTCCTGCAGTTTTCTTTCTGCGTGTTTCCAGCCACAGATGTGTGCTGGTCTACGGAACAAAAGAAACAAACTCCCGACCAATCTCAGTTTTAGTTGTTTACAGAAGAAGCAACTACAAAGTCAATTTGAGTTTCGACTCAAGGTATCGTGATAACTCTTCTAATCTTCCTATAGCGTTTTCCTAAGGACTGTCCAGAGCTTTGAACAAACTCTTTTACTTTCAATAGTCTGGTCGTCATTTGTTGCTTACTGCTTGAAATTTTTACTCACACCACGTTTCTTACGTAACACACCTGTTACGAATTCCGAGCAGGAAACACGAACCGCGATAGTGGATTCATACTAGCATCTCAATAGTCACGTTCAGCTCTTTATCAGTTCATCTCAGTTCAGTTCAGTTTGTACAAACACTAACCACGCATATTCGTGCACCAGTTTTGGTTGCTGCCTTTCGGCTGCCCATTTGGATGAAGAATAGGAGAAGAAAGGAAAGTTGAAAGTGGAGTCGAATTGAAAATGGAGAAGTTCAGTGGTCTAAGGTTGCAAAGAAATTGAGAAGATGCACGAATGCCACTGTTTACGACACTCAGCCATATCACTGAATCTCTCTAACCATCGGTTACAATCATCGCGAGGTCCCATACCGGGGAGCCTAACGGGACCTATGTGACCCAGTCTCCTGTTTAGGGTTTTGATTCCCTCATGCCAGGTCCTCGTTTGACCGCAATTGATCCTTTTCCAACCACTATCTGCCTCGGCAAACATCGC